TTCCATAGTGGCTACAACAGTTTGTATATTCCAACCAGCATTAACTGTGTTTCTCTTTACCTAGGGTAAACTTTTATCCTAGGCTTTCTGATTTGGTTAAGGTGAAATCTAAAAGTACTAATTATTTCTCTGCTGGTTAAGTGTGTTGAACATTAGAAACAAATATTTGTTTGCTACATGTATTTATTCTATTTTTTGCCCTTTAGGTGTTATTTTTGTGACCTAAAACAATTTTAAATTTAAATATATTTTCATCATATTCTTTCGGTCTCCCAAGGCCTTCTAGATTCTTTCCTTCTAACTATGTAGATGGGATTCTACATACCCATTTAACTTTAAATTTTCCTCCACAAACAAAACACTAGGCTAAAACAAAACCCTTCAAATGAACAAAACAAAATAAAACCTTTCCCTAGACAGACAAACAAATAACAACACCAAATGACAAATTAATAAGAATACAAAAAAAAATCTTTGGAATCCATTGTATGTTGATCAGCTACTGAATAAGAAGTCTTACCTTTAGTAATTGATATACTCAATGCCATGCAATTGGACAAAGCTGATTTCCCCTCATTTAGCAATTTTCAGAGACAGTTCTGTTACTAATGTTTATACTGGTGGGTAGATTTTTATTCATTTTTTTTACTAAAATATGTGATTATTATGTGTGTGTGTATGTGTTTGTGTGTGCATATAAAACAAAAAATAAGGAGAAGAACAAAATTATCACATAGAAGTTGGACAGGACAAACCAACAGAAGGAAAAGAGCCCCAGAGAAGAGACTTACTTTTCCACACACAGAAATCCCATAAAATCACTAACCTGGAACCAATATATATATATATATAATGTGTGTGTGTGTGTGTGTGTATAGGATTGCTGCATTTAGAACATTCCAAATAGATTCATGCCCCAATTTTTATTTCGCTTATTTATGTTCTTAATGTTGAGTTCTGTGTTTACTCCTTACTCTACCTAGTAAAGATATTTTATCATTCTGTAGGCAGTCTTTTTTCACAAATGATATTGTTCTATGCTGTATCCCTTTAAGTCTCATGAAGTCTAATTGTCATACCAAATAGCCCTTTCCTTTTCTTATAAGTTGTATACTTTCTATTGTCTTTTCTATCAGATTCAGGTTTTTGGATCTTATGTTGAGTTCCCATTTGGAGTTGTATGATGCAGGTTGATAGATAAGGTTTTAGTTTTCTTCTTTAGTGGTTTTCTAGTTTGGCTAGCACCCTGTTTTGAAGATCCTAACTTTTCTCCAGTGTATATGTACAATGTGCAACTTTTGTACTCTAAAGATTTGTAGTCATTTCCAACTTCTTGAACAACTGTTATCCTTTTTATTCTTTCCACATCAGTAAGTCAAGGTAAAAGGGGATATAACTAGTGTCTGTGGCCTTCTTATCATAGATCAAAGTTGACTATGTTTAATAATTTCTTTGTTGTTTTTCTGATAGCTTCCCTTGTAAGAAAAAAATTTAATTTTTTTATGTGTGTGAATGTTTTGCCAGTTTGTAAGTCTGTGCACCATGTCTGTCTTTGGTGTTCTTAGAACTCAGAAAAAGTCAAGGGCTTTGGATCTTCTGTGTTTTGATTAGGAGTTTTATTGCTGCTTCCATGACCAAAAAGCAGTTTGGGGAGGAAAAGTTTATTAGTCTTACACTTCCACATGTCAGTACTGTGTAGTGACATTTCATTTGTTTTTTAATAAATAAAGCTTGCCTGATGATCAGGAAGTAAAACAGCCATATTGATTATCCTTACAGAACAGGCAGTGGTGACACATACCTTTAGTCATAATATACACACTTGTTGCCATAGAAACTGGACATGCCTTTAATCCTAGGGGTGCATACCTTTAATCTCAGCCTTAGAGAAAGGATTATAATATGGGAGGAGACAGCTCTCAGTCTCGGTTTCATTAAGAGGTTTTCTGGAGGGAGGATCACCATTTTAGGTCTGAGGTCCAGGTAAGAGCCGGTGCCTGGCTACTTTTCTGATCTTCAGGTTGAACCCCAGTATCTGTCTCTGGGTTTTTAATAGACATGCTACCAGATTAGAATTTAAACATCGCAGTAACCTAAAGGTAGGAGCTGATGCAAGAGGCCTTGGAGGAGTGCTGCTTACTGGCTTGCTTCCAGGGCTTGCATAACTGGCTTTCTTTTAGAAGCCAAGACAAGTACAGGGATGGCAGCACCCACCATTGACTGGACCTTCCACCATTGATCACTAATTTAGAAAATGCCTCATAGCTGGATGTCATGTAGGCATTTCCCCAATTGAAGTTCCTTCCTCCCTGATGATTCTGTCAAGTGTCACACAAAACAAGTGTCAGTACTCCCTGGGACTGGAATTACAGATGGTTATGAATTACCATTTGTGTCCTGGGACTCATACTCTGGTCCTCTGCTAGAACAAGGAGTGCCCTTAACTGCTAAGTCATCTCTGCCACCTTTGAGTGCCATTTGTGTGTGTGTGTGTGTGTGTGTGTGTGTGTGTGTGTGTGTGTGTGTGTGAAGTTTAATTAAACATGCCATTTTTTGTTTTAATGTATCTATTTTCTGCATTGAATATTGTATATTTTTTTAGCATATGTGCTCTTCATGTTGTTTATTTTGTGCAGTGCTTAAATTGGATATACAACAAAGTATTTTAACAGTTTTAGAATCGTTCTCCTTGATTTCTTTAAGTATATTTCTTTGAGGGAGTTTGCCACTGAATAGCAGGAGTTTCAAAATATTACATCATACTTTTAATTTTTTTTTAAAAAATGCATTTATTTATTGTGTATGCAATTCTGTCTGCATGTAAGCCTGCAGGCCAGAAGAGGGCACCAGTTCTCATTTCAAATGACTGTAAACCACTATGTGGTTGCTGGGAACTGATCTCCGGACCTCTTCACAGCCAGTGCTCTCAATCACTGAGCTATCTCTTCAGCCTGATTTTTATTTTTTAAAATTATATATTTAAAGACTTTAAAATTAAGTATACACATGCTGTATCATAGTTTTATTATTTTATTTTTAATATTTATAATCTCAAACATTAATTTTCTTGTATGAATATCAGCTTATCATTCTACTCATAGCTGTAGATTGTAAGCTTTTTCTCATGAGTGTTCAGCTTTCTGTGATTCTAGAAAGACATCCAAATTTATTGTCTGCCCTCCAGTTCTTTGCTTTCATCACACAATGAACTTTTACTAAAGGAATTTTTAACTCAGTGCTTTGATCTGGCTAGGAATAGTAGCTCAGGTCTTTGTTTTAATCTCATCACTCCAGACACACAGCTAGGCAGATCTCTATGATTTTGTAGCCAGTCTGGTTTACAGAGTGACTTCCAGGTAATTCAGTACTTCATAGAAAGACATCCTTTTCATTAAACTCCCAGTGCTTTAGTCTTTTGTAGAGGAAAAAATAGAGATGCTATTTTTAAACATGGGTCAGCTTATTTTCTGATTTCTGTGAAGCTTTTGAAATTTTGCACACTGTTTGGCCAATAGCTTAAGCATAGTTTTAGCTAGTTATTATATCCTAAACTAACCCATCTCCATTAAAATCTGTGCATCACCATGAGTCATGGTTTACCAGCAAAATTTCTGCAGGTACCAATGGAGGCATGTGTCTCCTGTGAGGGCTACATAGCTTTTCCTGACTTCACCTACTCTCTCTATATATCTCTTCACCCTAGCTTTACTGTGTTAAACCATTGGCCAAAAACAGCTTCTTTATTAACCAATGGCAGTAAAACCTATTCACAGCATATATCACCTCCCACACCCACTGTAGAATGTAATAATGTCTCTGTTCTATAAGAAGGTTCGTTTGAGAGTGATTACAGTCTTTTGTATTTATTTACTCTATTGCTACATACTACTTTATTAACTGTTTTATCTGAGAAAACAGGAGAATCATCTATTGAAATCAGTTTGTGATTCTGAATACAAATTTTGTTTGAAGATTATTTAATTCATTACATATTTTCCTCCGTATCTTAAGCTTTGGCAGTAAAGTGTTAAGTGTTCTTTTGTTTTTTTTTTGTTTTTTTTTTTTTTCTTTTTAGCACTATTGCTTTATCTACTGATTCAGAAAAACTGATATCAGGGCTGGAGTTATGGCTCAGTGGTTCAGAGCACTTACTGCTCTTGCAGAGGTTATGGGATGAGTTCCAAATATCCATAATGTGGTTCACAACATCTTTAATTGCCCAGAAATCTAATGGTTTTTTAAATTGCATGCACAAACTTTTGCAGACAAGTCCCTCATAAAATCAAAATAATAATAATAAAAAATGATAAGACTAGGACTTTTGATATTTGCAGGGCCAGAGAATATGAATGCAAACATTAAATACACTCATAAATTGAAAAAAATTGTTAATATATTTTTGTTGTTTACAAAGTTTAATAAATATAAATTGTATATTAAATTTACTATTAATCAGAATTAGTTCTCAGTTTACTTTGTGGTAATGACTGTAACCAAGCATGTGTATTATTTAATTTAAAACTATGTTTACAAGTAGTATAGTATTTTGCTATGAGTATGTCAGTCAGTATTGAACAATATGAAGTTATCAAACTTTTATATAGGAGCCGGGTGGTGGTGGCTCATGCCTTTAATCCCAGTACTCGGGAGGCAGAGGCAGGTGGATCTCTGTGAGTTCGAGACCAGCCAGGTCTACAAGAGCTAGTTCCAGGACAGGCTCCAAAACCACAGAGAAACCCTGCCTCGAAAAAACCAAAAAAATAAAATAAAATAAAAAAAGAAATTTTTATATAGGAAAATTGGGTTGGGACACTTGTAAATGGCCTCAGATTATATCATCAAGTTATACTACTTATGCTACAAACTTTAAGATGTTGGTTATAGACATTGTTAGATATTTAATTGTTCATTGTTTGGTGGCTTTTGCTTTTATTTAACATTTTGTTATTGTGTATATGCATTTTATGGTATGTAAAATGTTTTCTTCTTCCTTTTCTCAGGGTTTTGATAAAGATGAGAGTTTACATTTGGCAGTACAGAATGATGACCAGCCTCTATTTCCCACTGGTTCCACACGATATCTCCAAGCAGATAGCACTGGTATTCAAAATCAGAATGAAAATCATGGTCTGCCTCAAAATACAGATACAAAGGGGGATCCTCAAAACCATTTCACTTTTCATTTTGCTACCTCAGAAGAACAAAAGGGCACTAACTGTACCAAAGAAAACAAGCATTCAGGAAATAGATCACTGAGTTTTAAGTCATGTAGGCAAGGCACATCTGATATCTGTATTAATGTAAAGGAATGTTCTAATCATGTTCATCAGATTCCATCAGTTGCTATCTCCAGTCCTAAAAATGAAGATTCTGTGCCAGCAAATTTAATAATTGTAGACAGTCCTCAGCCTTCTGCCATGGTTGGAGAAGTTATTGACAGTATAGGTACTGGAATGTGTGACAAAACCAATAATGTTCATCCAGCTGTTCTCAAAAAGTCTGATAATCTTGTTGCTTCTCCACCCTCTTCAGAAACACTTTTCCCAAAGTTCAGTGACAAGATGCATAAACATACTACCAGTTTTATCAGTCCTCACAGTGGATTACATAAAATTAATGGAGAAGGCCAAGAAAACTCAGAGAGTTCTATCAGTGTTAACCCTGGTCTCAGACCTAGACCTCAAATCCTACCATCAATGTCTGTGTCCATATACTCAACTTCAACAGAAGCTCTGAAAGCATGCAGGTTAGTGTGGTAAAGTTTATCAAAAGGTGAAAATGATTGAGTAATGCCCATATAAGACTTGACATACAAGACAAAATACTATTCTATCTTAGTGAAATGTGCAAAAGACTGTATAGTTTTACATATGTAATAAAACAGTTTCATATGCAGATTTTTTTTATCTTAAGTTTACATGTTGCAATTTTTGCTTATCTTTTTTTTTTGGTAAACTGCATTATGTCAGATCTAAGACATGTCTTTGTCTTGTATTACTACATTTTATTGCTTATTACAATTGCCCTAAATTAAAAAAAATAAAATAAAAGGCTTTGCTATAGCAGACTATCATAACATGGTCAACATTTGTTAACATAAAAAAAAGAAAACAAAACTAACAAAAACTATCAAAAATAAAACAAAAGAAAATAGACGGGAAAAAGGAGTATCTGGCATTATTCTTTTCTACCAAGTAAGTTTCAATCCAAATACTTAGGAGGTAGAGGCAGGCAGATATCTGTTAAGTTTGAGGGGGATTAGATTGACAGTTGAACTTTTTTTTTGTTTGTTTCTTTGTTGAGACAGGGTATCTGTGTAGCTTTGGAACCTTTTTAGAATTAACTATGTAAACCAGACTGTCTTCAAACTTAACAGATAAACCTTTTCCCAGCCCGTTACTCCCAGTAGATATCTGTCTTTGTGGATGAGGTGTGTTTCTTGTAAACAGCAGAATGTTGGATCCTGTTTTTGTATTCAGTCTTTTAGCCTGTGCCTCTTTATACGTGAGTTGAGTCCATTGATATTAAGTGATATTAATGACCAGTGGTTGTTAACTCCGGTCATATTTTCTTTTTCTTTCTTTTTTTTTTTTTGTATTAGAGTCTGTGTGTTTCCCTTCTTCTTGTTGTGCTGGTGAAGGTTCATTAGATGTCTGAGTTATTTTGGGCATTGTTGGCCTCCTTGGGTTGTGATTTTCCTTCTATTACTTTCTGTAGTGCTGGATTTGTGGTTAAGTATTGTTTAAATTTGTTTTTATCCTGGAAAATTTGTTTTCTCCATTTATAGTGAACAAAAGCTTGGCTGGGTATAGTAGTTTGGGCTTGCATCCATGCATGGTCTCTTAGTGTCTGCAGTACATCTATCCAGGATCTTCTGACTTTCATGGTTTCTATAGAGAATTCAGGTGTAAGTCTGATAGGTTTACCTTTATAAGTAACTTGACCTTTTTCCTTTGCAGCTCTTAATATTCTTTCCTTATTCTGTATGTTTTGTGTTTGATTATTATATGGCAATGAGATTCTTTTTTTGGTCCAGTCTATTTGGTGTTCTGTATGCTTCTTGAACCTTCAAAGGAATGTCTTTCTTTAGGTTGGGAAAGTTTTCTCTATAATTTTATTAAATATATTTTCTGGAACGTTGAGTTGTACTTTTCTCATTCTTCTACCCCTCTTATTCTTAGGTTTGGTCTTTTTATTGTGTCCCAGATTTCATGAATGTTTTGTGATGAAAATTTGTTGGTTTTGTTGTTTTCTTTGATCAGTGTGTTTATTTTCTCTATGTTATCTTCAGTGTCTGACATTCTTTCTTCTATCTCTTGTAATGTGTTAGTAGTACTTGTCTCGGTAGTTTCTGTTTGTTTACCCAGATTTTCCATCTGCATCCTTCCCTCCGTTTGTGTTTTCTTCATTACTTCCATTTTATTCTTCAAGTCTTGAACTGCTTCCCTTACCTGTTTGATTGCTTTTTCTTGTATCTCTTGGTTTTCTTGGGTATCTTCTAGCGATTTATTCATTTCCTCTACCTTTTTGTTTGTAATCTCTAATTGTTTATGGCAGTTTTTCTCCTCCTGTGTAAGGTCCTCTATTATTTTCATATTATTCACTGTAGTAATAAGAGTGGCCCTGCTGTGTCCTGCCACCTGGCTAGCTTTACATGAAATAACAACACACAAACTGTATTCTTTTAAACACTGCTTGGCCCATTATATCTACCCTCTTCTCGGCTAACTCTCGCACCTGGACTAGCCCATTTTTAATAATGTGTGTAGCACCCCAAGGTGTGCTTACCGGGAAGATTCTAGCCTAAGTCCATCCTGGGTCGGAGCTTCATTGAATCTGCCCTGGAGAGGGGAGAGCTATGGCACTGAGCTCACTTCCTCTTCCTCCCAGCATTCTGTTCTGTTTACTCTGCCTAAACAGTCCTGTACAATAAAAGAACTTCTGGAGGCATCTCAATCCCTGGAGGCATCACAATCTTTCAAACTCTACTATGGAGCTACAGTACAGAAAACAGCCTGGTATTGGCATAAGAACAGAGATAAACACCAATGGAACTGAATAAAAGACCTAGACCTAGATATCAATCTACACATCTTCAAACACGTGATTTTAGGCAAAGAAGCCAAAAATATCAAATAGAAAAAAGAAAGCAATTTCACAAGTGGTGCTGGCATAACTGGATATCAACATGTAGAAGAATGAAAATAGACCCATATCTATCACCACGCACAAAACCCAAGTCCAAATGGATCAAAGACCTCAACATAAAGCCAGCTACAATGAACCTTATAGAAGAGAAAGTGGAAAATACACTTGAATGCATTGGCACAGGAGACCAATTGCTAAATGTAATCCCAGAAGCACAGACACTGAGAGAAACAATTAATAAATGGGACCTCCTGAATGAAGCTAAAATGCTTCTGTAAAGCAAAGGTCACGAGCAACAAGACAAATTGACAGCCTATAAGAAAAGGTCTTCACTAACCCCACATCAGAGAGAGGTCTGATCTCCAAAATATACAAAGAACTCAAGAAATTGGACACTAAAAGATCACATAATCTAATAAAAAAAAATTGTAGTACAGACAGAAACAGGGAACTCTAAACATACCTAAAAATAATTAAGGCAATATACAGCAACCCAACAGCCAATATTAAACTAAATGGAGAGAAACCTAAAATGGCTGAAAAATATTCAACATCCTTAGTCATCAGAGAAATGCAAATCAAAACAACTCTGAGCTTCCATTTTACACCTGTAGTAATGGCCAAAATCAAAAACGCTGATGACAACTTATGCTGGAAAGGTTGTGGGGAAAAGGGAACACTTCTCCATTGCTGGTGGGAATGCAAGCTGGATGTCAGTGTGGCGATTTCTCAGAAAATTAGGAAACAACCTTCCTCAAGACTGAGTAATATCACTTTTGGGTATATATCACAAGAATGCTCAATCATGTCATAAGGAAATGTGTTCAACTATGTTCACAGCAGCTTTGTTTGTCATAGCCAGAACCTAGAAACAACCTAAATGCCCTTTGATCCAAGAATGGATAAGAAAAATTTACACAATGGAGTACTACACAGCAGAATAATGACGGCTTGAATTTTGCAGGAAAATGGATGGGGCTAGAAAACATCATTTTCAGTGAGGTAACCCAGACACAGAAAGACAACTATCACATGTACTCACTCATAGGTGGATTTTAAACATAAAGCAAAGAAAGGCACCCTACAAACCACAATCCCAGAGACCTTAGACAACAATGAGGACACTAAGACAAACTTACATAGATTTAATCTACATGGAAAGTAGAGAGTAGAAAAAGACAAAATCTCCTGAGTAAATGGGGAATATGGGAACCTTGGGGGTTTGAAGGGAAAAGGCAGGGAGAGGAACAGAAAAAATTGAAGAGATAGAGGCATCCCTGTTTAGGTGGTGAGGAGTTCCATCTGCAAGGGAATGGTTCCTGCTTCTACACTGAGGAGATCCACCCAGTGAATCAGTCACAGCAAAGACTGGACCAAGACACCAGGCATCTCATGGCTCCATTTGAAGGAAGAGATGTGAAGGCGCCAATGCAAGAATTCCTCCAACAAACCAAAAGGCAACATGACATCACCAGAATCCAGGGATCCCGAAATAAGAAGAATTATACAGCCTACTCTGTCCAAGACCTTTATTAGGAAGGGTTGTTGTATTTTGTCAAATGCTTTTTTCTGGCATCTAATGAGATGATCATGTTGTTTTTATTTTTCAGCTTGTTTATGTGGTGGATTATGTTGACAGATTTTCGTATATTGAACCATCCCCGCATCTGTGGATGAAGCCGACTTGGTCATGGTAGATGATGATTCTGCTGTGTTCTTGGATTCGATTTGCTACTATTTTATTTAGCATTTTTCATCAATGTTCATGAGTGAGATTGGTCTGTGATTCTCTTTCTTAGTATTGTCTTTTTGTGTTTTTTGTAGCCTCATAAAAAGAGTTTGGCAATGTTCCTTCTATTTCTATTGTGTGGAATAATTTGAGGAGTATTGATATTAGTTCTTCTTTGAAAGTGTTGTAAAATTCTGAGTTTAAACCATCTGTTCCTGGGCTTTTCTGGAATTAGTATTGCTGTTGACTTCTAGTTTTAAAGCATGATCTGATAAGGTACATTGGGTTATTCCACTTTTTTTTTTTTTTTGCATTTGTTGCAGTTTGTTTTGTTACTGGGCATGCTGTCAAGTTTTCAGATGGTTCCATGAGGTGCTGAGAAGAAGGTATATTCTTTTCTGTTTGGATGGAATGTTCTATAGATGTCTGTTAAGTCCATTTGAGTCATAACATCTGTTAGTTCTCTGTTCATTTTTTGTCTGATTGAGAGGGGAGTGTTAAAGTCTCCCCCTATTAGTGTGTGGGGTTTAATATATGATTTAACCTTTAGAAGTGTTTCTTTTATATATGAAGGTGTCCTTGTAGATGGGGAATAGATGTTCAGCATTGAAATTTCCTCTTGTTGGATTTTTTTCTCTGACTAATATGAAATGTCCTTCTTTGTCTCTTTTGACTGGTTTTATCTTGAAGTCTATTTTGTTAGGATAGCTACAGCCATTTGTTTCTTAGGTCCATTTGATTGGTATATATTTTTCCCAACCTTTTATTCTGAGATAATGTCTGTCTTTGTGGTTGAGACGTGTTCCTTGTATGCAGAAGAGGAATGGATTCTGTTTTCGTATCCAATTGTTAGCCTGTGCTTTTTTATA